AAGGGAGAACAAACATCCCAGCGTTACGTGAATCATTTCATCTGTCTGAGAAAAGCAAGTGACTGAGAGGATACATCTACCGGTTAGCTCCTTGTTTCCTTTGAACCATCTGATGGTGGTGGCTGGTCTGCTGGCCATGGCAGTGCAGTTCAGCTCAATCTCTTCTCCCTCAACGGCGATCTCCTTCTGGATATCAATTACCAAATTGCGTGGCGGGACTACAATGAAAAAGACAGCACAACATGTACTTGATGAAAAAACCCCAAACATTCTTTGATCACTAACACAAGACAAAACTGTCAGGAAAGCCTGTAAAATCTACTAGAGGAAACTAGCCACCAGCATTTATTTGATCTTTCAATCGATCAAATGCTTTGATAGGCGGTTTCACAGTAATCAAGGGTAAGCGCTTTCACTCTCCGCCTAATAATCATCGTAGCTTCGCAAATTATTGCTTATCAAATTTGTAACTTTCTGTCCTCTCTCCCAGGCAGGCACCATTCCAGGGAAGAGCTTTAGCCTTCTGTGCTGTTCGGTTGTGTGCGTTGCCGTTTAAAAATACAGCTTGACTCCGTGCACGTTTCTTGACTACTTCTGACAAGGAGAGGAAACACAAAAACTGACATTTGGAAGTGCGTTACTTACGGTGCCTCTAACCTCGCAAGGCAGTTTCTCCTCTCGCGCTGTTCAGCTTCGAGCCTGGGCCGTGAGGAGTGGAGGCAGGCCAGCAAACATCAAGCTCATTTAAGACGCTCAAAAAGCCACCGAGCGCGAGCCCGGAGTGGAATGCCGTCACCTTTGAGGCAACACGGTGTCCCCCATCAAACCGCCATAAACCAAATACAAGACCATCCCAGGGAGGAGAGAGCCAGCTCTGCCTCCAGTGACAGGCACTTGCATCGTATGGCCCTTCCTCTAGGATGGTAATTTGCCGTTCTCCCCAGACACGTATCTTCTTGTAAAACACGAAGCTAGAAGACTATACTCAATGAAAAATTATCCAGCGATATTCAGAAACAGGCTAGAACTTCAGGGGGATAACCACCGCTGCAGCACAAGCCAGAGACGTGACGAGCAGCCTTAAAATTACGACACAGAAGCAAGGAACCTCTTCCCCACGAAAGCACCGGTAGCTAGTAAGGCAAAAACCAGAAAAAAATGAACATCAAGAGTTTGTGCAGCACAGAGCTGCAGTTTCGGAAAAAAACCCCAGAACTTCCAAAGGAAACTCAACTTTGCTCTGATCAACGTGATTAAGCAACCGCATAGTTCAAATGTGACTAACACATTTTTGAGCTGATGAAGAACAAATATGTGTAAATACCATCCAGATGATCAAATGGACTAATTAGTCACTTGTGACTTTTCTCTAAAAAGAACAGAACGGGCTACATATTTGAGATGTTCACATGTTCCAATTAAGCATGAATAAATCTACATACCGTGTCACGGGAGACATTAAAGTACGTGGGAGAGCCGGGGGAAGCACACTGCTAAAGCAGGAAAAAGCAAGCGCGACGCCCTCTCCGAACACTGCCTGCAAAAGAAGGATGCCTCCAGACCTTGCTCCGCTCTCCGAAGCGACTATCGTTAGCAGCAGATCGGCAAAACTACTCTTTGATGACAGAACTGAAGGTTTGTCGAAGCCTGAGCGATGACCACCAGATCTTTGGTGGGGAAGGCATCCCCAGGAGGACCAGCCACACACCGCTCCCCCGGCCCCGGCTCATTTTTTCTCCTCATTAGGGAGTCAATAATAGGGAAGACAGGAAAGACGCGTCATCCTCGGTGTCACGGTGCCCGATCTCTCCGTACAAACGCTAGCTAAGATGAACGGTCCCCTCCCCAGTCTTCTCATAATAAACATCCATCTTCGCTGCCTGCTCCGTGACCTACCGTTTGGCCCCAGCGTGCGACGAAGGTGAAGAGAAAACACCCGCTGCTTTGCAGATGGCGGGAAAAGCAGGCACACACCGGCCATGCCGTGAACCCTTCTCAAAAAGAACTGAAGCACGAGGCAAGAAAACACTCTCCCCTGAATTCTCAAGCACAATTCGTGTTTAAAAAAAAAACAAACCCCAAAGAACCGCATTTTGTCTGCCGCTTGAAAGCCAGGCAGTGCTGTGGCTTATAGGTGAATAAAGTAAGTACTGTTATTTCAAACACCTTCTCGGCACTGTTAGCAGCGAAATGAAGTCCAACAAACTATTTCTGCGCGCGTACGATTAGAGAGGAGAGCTGGAAGAGAGCTTCCTATTCCCGTGAATACTGGGAAGCGCACTAAAACTTTGAAGACGTTGATAAACGTAATAGCTATAGTAGAACCGCTTATACACATTATTTAAGCGACGTCTAAAAACCTAAGAACCAAATCTCATTAAATAAAAGGAGGAAGATTTAAACTAATCAGCGAGCGAGATCTGACATTAAGTCACCCTCTGTGATTCAGGTTCTCCTATTAATAGAGTCTTAAAAGCCGCTGCTAATCTGCAGAAACAGCTCTAATAGCACGGGCTGCTATTATTGGTAACCGCATCGGTCTTGCGGCTGCCCGTGCACCGCAGTCCTGCAAAGCCCGAGGGAGCGAAGGAAAGGCAAGAGCTCGGCAGGGCTGCGCGTTTGGGGGGGGGGTGTGTGTGTCAGCTCTGCAAATAGCCGTTCCTAAGCAAGTGAGCAAACTTAGGGCGTCAAATGAGAGATCTTACTTTCTCTTACGTGCAAAACAAATTTTTGCTAGAATTAACAGGAAGCTATCGCTTTCCATCAGTCGAGCTCCAGATTTCACCAGATACGTATCAACCGACAAACAGGCAAAAACTTACGCATCTTCACAATGGCAGGAGGTTCACCAGCGAGACTGTTAGTAATATCTGCCCTTACGGAATATCATCGACGGGCAAAGATGCTGCCATTCGTCACTAAAATGTAATCTCTCGAATCCCCAAGTTTTGGAAGAAAAGATTCAGTATGTGATCAGAGCAGTCTGATCACTGAAAACACAAAATTCATAAACTGAACAGTTCTCCGTGCTACGAAGCATTCGTGTGAATTTCTTTCCCCTCTGCATATCAGATAATTATTGAAAGACATTTGCTACAGCTTTTACTTTCTGGCTGGCTTCTTCCTGACTTCACCGAACGAGACGCAACCGCCGCAACTGATCTCCCCTTCTCCCTCAGAGACGTGCCTTCTCTCGCCCTAAAGAAGACAGATACGAGGCGGAGAAGGGCTAGTCTTGCAGAGCTCACGCCGTTCTGCCAAGCCCTGGGCTGGGCAGGCGCTCCTTCCAGGACGTCGGCAAGTCCAGACTTGCCCAAAAAGCCAACGATTCACTTGGATACTCTTACAGACCGGTGGACAGCACAAACAACTCATCCTTGCAGGCTGTCTGCAAACGAAGGCTGGTATTAAATCCCGCTCCGTAAAGGGCAGGGAAACCTCGCAGCCTTTCCCAAGCGACCTGCCCAAGTAAAGGAGAGGCTTGGAAGTGGAGAACGCCTCACGCTTACACCTCCGCTTGTTCTCTGAGGCTGAAAATCGCCTGCGGACAAAAAGGGGAAGACCCAAGCATCACACCAAATATGATGCCTTGCGAGACAGGAAGGCGACGCAAGGGCTATGGCATGCCACCGGACCACCCGCTTGGTATTTACCGGCAACTCTTGGAAATCTTGTGTCTGCAGGTTCAAGCCCTAAGCTGCGTTGAGCTATTGAAGAGC